TGCATTGCTGTATAATGTCTTACTGGGATTTGTAGTCCTCTCTAGCTGGTGGTATTCTGCATTGCTGTATAATGTATTGCTGGGATTTGCTGTCCTCTATAGCTGATGGTATTCTGCATTGCTGTAAAATGTATTGCTGAGATTTGCTCCTCTACAGCTTGGAGTCAGTGGCAAAACTATCATGGTGGCAGTGGTTGCAGCTACGACTAGGCCCTGGCGCTCCACCACTGTCCTAAAATCATTAGTCTGTATTGTTTTAAAAAAAACTGTCACGAGACACACGAAAAAAAAGCATAGATAATTGGTAGCGGCAAGTAGTTGAGAGAAAAGTATCAGTACTCATACTTGGTCTTGAAAAAATTTCATCGGTGCATCTCCACTTTTCTCCCCTAGTCTTCTGACAGTGGCCATTTTAACTAAGGGCAGATTACTAGATCTGCCTTTACTTCCTGGAACTCTGGCACATGTGACCAGGACATGTGACTATGTACCATCTCGGGGGAGGAAAATGCCTTTCACTGAAATCTCATGAGATTTCCCAGCAATGCTCTGCTGATGTAACCTTCCCAGAATGCTCTGTTTGGACATATTACCTTATTTGTGCCAAAGTGGACCAGGAAGTGGACAAGAATTGTAAATAAAATAAAACTACAATAGTTTAGCAAGTGAATGTAAAATGATTTCATACCAGCATGCAGAGCTGATGTGTTTTTTAGTCAAAGGGGGGTAAAGGTCCATTTTAATAACACATCTAGATAGAACTCTATTGATACTGTTGTCCAAAATCCATTTTTATAAGATGCATTCAATGGACTGTTACACAGATAATAATCCTGGTTGGAGGTCTACTAATGATATGACAGATGAGATCCACCCCCAGAACTTTGTATAAAGACTTGTTTAAACAAGCATATATCTTCATGCGTTTCCCTTCTGTTAGAGTACAGTACACTAGACTAGGCCTAACAGTACTGCATTTATATATATCTTTGGAACAAATACAACTAATGCTAACCTGCTCCATCCCATAGCAAAATGGTTCTGAATCCACCTATTGAAGTATGAATATCCTGGTCAATTTCATGATATAGTATATGGATAGTCAGATCTCTGCAAAGTCTACACCATCCTATGGCCTTGGACAATAGGGCATGGACAAACTAATCCTTTAGAACCTTGGTTCTCAACTGGTGGGTCACGACCCCATGTTCAGTCGGTCGCCTCGTGCCTTCCACTTTTCTAGGTGAGAGGCTGCTCAGCCTCCTCCTAGCGCAGCACTGTCAGTCCCCCACGCCAAGCGGCCATTCCTATGCTGCTTGGCCCCGAGTGTCAGCTTGAGGTAGGCTGGAGCTATGGCTGCAAGGGAGCTCCATCCATACATGCATTGCTTACAGCATGTCCTGTAGCAGTACCTAGACCGGAATGACATCACGTTCTGGTTCCCGGCACCTCTACAGGGCACATCAGCCCACACTGGACCCCAGGCTGAGTATCCACTCCAGTTCTCGTAATGTCGGTAGACTGGGTGTCTGTCAGTGTTTTTGAAAGCCCGTTCACACTAATACAGTGTGTTAATCAAACAGCCCTGTGCGAATAACAGACTGTACCTGGCAATCGCACCTACTACGCGTTCTGGTGTCAGAGGTGCATAGCCATTAATTCGAATGGCACCCCATTCGCAGTACCACAATGCTGTGCGTTCCATTGCAGTGCAAATTGGGTCGCAACTTAATGACCAAGGACAAATGTGGGTCCTGAGGTTACACAGGTTAAGAACCACTGCTTTAGAAGGAAAATTTGTCCAAGTATCCCACTATGTGGATACCCTAAGAGCAAAGAAGAGATAGGACTCGCAGTAAGTACCTTAGTGAAGACCCAGGTCAAAAGGGAAGGTAAGGCAATAAACTGGTAATGTTGCATGCCCACAGAAAAACCCAGGTAGCATGACAAGGTGGGAAAATGGGGATGCGCAAGTAAGTTTTCCTGATGTCCGCAGTGGCCAGAAGATCCTCCTTCTGAAGGAACACGACTGAGTCCATGCAAAACATTTGAACCTGCAGGAATCTGTTGACAATCTTCAGAACCCAAATGGAGCAAATACCTTTGACATGAAGTAGTAAGACAGGAGGAAAAAAAAAAAAGTCAATTTTGTAGCCCTTGCATACTAAGCTCTGGACCCAGACATCTAGAATTAAGGCTGCCAGAAGCCCACCTGTGGGCTTTGCTCCCAGACTTGGCAGGCTTAGGAGGTCCATGTCTTGCAGTGGAACTGTGTGGGTTTTACCTTGGATGCTAAGGCCTGGCAAATACGGAAGCAAATCTTTCTGGACTCCGAAGGCAAAGCCTTAACTGCCAAAGCTTTCACCTTTTTCTGGGGCAGAAGGGAAAGCTTACCTCCACTGACTTCCTTAATGTATGTGTGCAGGAAGCCATCCTCTCAGAGTTTCTTGCACAAGCACTCCCCAGACCAGCATTTGAGCTGAATGCTGCTCCTCATATTAGCCAAACCCTCAACCCAGCAGAGCAGGGCCACAGACAGGAGCTCTAGGTTCTGGCAGACAGACTGATCTCTCAGAATGAATCCAGGGACACCAAACCATGTGCTTAGTCCATATAGCAAGGGTTTTTGCAGATGGACAAGGAAAACAAGGCCTTAAAAGGAGGTCTTCTCAACTTTGTCTACAAGGTCCTAGAAAACTAGGACATCTTTAACAGGGACCATAAGTGTTGTGTTGTGCAGCTGATGGCCAGAGCCACAATGAGGACTGCCCATTTCTTACGGATACCCTTATCAACCAGGTCTTGTTGAGCAAATAATTTTGAAGAGGAGAATCTTTTTTTTCAGGGTGAGGCCAGTCACAGTATAACATAGGATATAACAGCACATGTACAGGGAAGGTCTATACAGGTTTGGGCATTTTAAAGGTCCTTAGAACAGGCCCACACAGCTGGCTCTAAATTAAAGCATTCTCAAACCTTTTCAGAGAGGATTGCAATGGTATCCTTAGGTTTTTAAAGAGATCTCAGAAGATAGAATCTCTTCATCTGATCCCTCTGAAATGGGAGGGGAATCCTCAACCTCATTAGGAAGTGTGGCAGCAATTAAGGGAAAAGTCAGAGACTCTGAAGGGGAAGATGAGGGGCTTGCTTGTGCCTCCAACAGGGTTGAGAGCCTTCCCATTAGGTCAGAAATAAGGGCTGAAAACTCCTCTCTAGATGGGGGGGGGGGGGGGGGGGAAGACACTACAACTCCCCAGGGCTGTTTGGTGAGCGAGTTGACAAAGCCTGCTGACCTATTGCCCTTGGGCCTCTGATCTGCCATGTGCGGTATGTCCCCCACGGAGTACTCACAACCTTGAATACTGTGGCGAGGGAAGGGTTAAGTCTTTTGTGGCAGGCACTGTAGGCAGCTAGACCCCAGGAGATATCAGAGGATTACTGTGCTGTACCATGAGAGGCAGAGGTGGCCTGGCCAGTCCATGCAAACCAGAGAAAAATGGCACACACATGCGCTGTGAGACCAGAGGAATTGAATTTACGCAGGCGCAATTGTGGCCCATGCAACAGAGTAATAAAGGGGCCAAACTCAAAATTGACCTGGGCACTAACCCATCAACCAAAACATAGTCCCGCCCCCTTGACATCACATCCTGTATGTGACATCAGGGGGCGGGACTATGTGTTTTGGTTGATGGGTTAGTGCACTGGTGTATATATTGTCAACACTTTCTGTATTTGTATCACTTTTGTCTGCCTGAAGGGACCGGACAGGTTCCGAAACGTTGCCACGCATGGTGATATGACCTGTGAGAATGAATAAAAGGATTTCGTTTTGAAGAAAAGCTGGAGTGCTGGTGACCATTTTTCTGTTTTGCAAGTATTTGGCAGCGCCATCTGCGGCCACTTCAGCGCCCCCCCCCCCACATTGTATGGGGCTTCTCGGTCAGGAGTGCGGTGGGACTCTCTATTTTTCTTGTATTTAGATCTGGCAGACAAATGCTAAGGGCATTTCAAGAACAATTGAATGGGTATTGCGGGAGTGTGATGGAAATCATGTACGTACGTACGTGCGTGCGCCTCTCTTCCCGTGGAATTGCAATATTCATATAATTTGGATCCACTGGCTAATGTCTTGAAAAAAAAAAAATCCCAATCAGGAACAAACCCAGGATGGCAGAATGTGTAGAACATATGGGGCAGAAGCTCCAGCAAGACAGTGGCTACCTGCTCAAAAAGGCCATGCCCAATAGAGGGAAACCTTAAAGCATACAAAATGTGAAAGCAACAAACCATTTGAGTTCTGGTATAAGCTGGAGATAAAGCACAATTCAAAAAGACATGACCACTGTTATGTTACACACTCACATTTTATCTTTATTAACGCCAACTGTTTTATTTTTTGTAGTTATTTATTTTTGTGATTTAAAACAATAGCACAAAAGAGGAATCCGGTAAGCAAGTCTGAGAACCAAGGCCCATGGCCCTGCTATTAGGCTTCACAAACCCACAATCTGGGAAACAAGTGCCGCAGCACAAGCCTTTTTTAGTACTGAAGGGGTTAATGGTCCAGGCCACTGAAAAATTGAGAGTCATGGGCATTAGAATAACTTGCTTCAGCTCAGATCCCTAAGATTCAATATTCCTTCCTGAACAATGGGTTATCCATAACAAACAACAGGCAACCAACAGTTATATTATTCTTATGAGGAAAATACAAGAGGTAATTAAGGAAGCAAAACAGGAGGGGGATGTCCCCTCATCAAAAATAAATGACTGTCTACATACCCAGCCACCTTCCATACCTGGCCGTGGCTAATTCCCACTCTGTAATAACTTGTCAGGTTGCGCTCCCCTTGCCTACATATAACCTTCTACAGTGGTGTTGGTATATCTGCCTCACATAAGCCAATAAAGTCCCTCTCCTGGTCTACTCTCAGGCAGAATTCCCTCTGAAGGGGGTTTATGGGAGATTCACAGTTAGCAGTTTGACGCTGCTTTTTTCCATATGTACAGACTGACTGAGCAATTTAATAAAATCCCTAAGGAGTTGATTGGGGACTAAGCAGGAGCTGACATGGGTTTTCTTGGACCAGCTCCCCAGTAGTTGGGAAGGGGTTTTGAGGGATGAGGGAGGACAAGTACAGAGCCTCCCATGGAGGGGGCCTAGGGTCTAGCCTGTTGGGGCGGTGAGACAGCAGGCGGAGGGGAATGACTGTGTACATTCACACAGCAGAGGAAGGTGACTTGCGCAGCAGTAGATACTGGTGCATGGCATCACCATCTCTCTTCAGCCAGGCAGCATTCAAGACTATATTTTCACAGCACTGTTGCACTGTACGCTCTGCAGAGGGCACTGGATGAGCTTCAAAAAATGCCTAGTGTGAAAAACAAACAGGAAACAAAAATTAGCAATACAAAACATCTCAAAGTATTCGCTTTATATTTTATATACAAAGGCCAACATGAGCCTCTTAAACACACAAGGAACGGCTCTTCTAAACACACAAGGAACGGCTCTTCTAAACACACAAGGAACGGCTCTTCTAAACACACAAGGAACGGCTTTTATAAAACACACAAGGAACGGCTCTCTTTAATTCAGCCAACCCTGGTGTGTAGTGTGCCTGCACAGTATGAAGAAGAAAAAGAAATGATTTGTTGGTGTCAGCATCTAAGCTCTTACTTGGCGCAGGCAATAGGTAGGTTCAGAGGGGGGCCCTGATGTAGAAACAAATGGTACTTTTGGCAGGAAGATGTTATGTATGGAAGAGAAGGGGTGTTGTTTAAGAGAAAGGTAACGTTTTAGGTTTAGGTGTTCGGTAAGGATTAAGGATCAATGTTCAGCAAGTGTTGGGAGGGAGTTAAAGTGTTACAATATGGAGTTAAGCGATGTTCTAGAGCCCTGGTACTCAACTAGTGGTTCGCAGCCCCATTTTCAGTGGGGAGTGGAGGGTTGCCACCTGTCTGCATGCTTCCATTCCCTCTCTGGGCGGAGGGGGGGTTGGGATGTTTTTCGCGTGAGGGGACCCCAGGGCCGCCATCAGAGGGGTATTGCCGATACATATGCAAGGGGCCTAGGTCACCACCAAGGAGTTTTTGTTCTATAGTGTAATAAACTCCTTGGTATGCCCCCCTCCTCCCCATACAGTAACAGCTACTTGGTACCTTCCTGTATAGTGACAGGAAGGGGTTTTTTTCCTCTTCAGGAGGCGGAGCTGCAGCATTGGCAGGCTGCACGCAAGGAGCGAGGGAGTGAAGCAGAGCAGAGCCTGAAGTGGAGCAGAGCCTAGAGTGGTATCATTTTAAAATAAAAAATGTTTTCACCCACTGTACTGAGGTTGCTGAGGTGTGTGTGGTGGTGGGGGGGGAGAAGGAGATGGCTGGAGCTTGTGCTCCACTACTGACAGGGACTGTCAAAATGCTTGTTTCTGTTATTCAAGCAGGCTCTAGGAAGCCTGCTTGAATAAGGAACGATTAGCACTGCCCACAACCTATTCATATGGAAATTGTGGGTTTTGCATATTAATTAACTGCAATGTGATTTGCATATGAATGCTGGAGTAGAGGAAGCAGGGAGAGAGCTGGCCAGAGGGTGAGATGCTGTGCGCCCACCCACAATGCCCACACACTTTGTGCGCTCACTTTAACCCCCTTTTCCCCAGCTTCACTGGTGTGGCAGTGTTATAAGTTGCAATTACATCGCCACACCAAAGAAATGGCTTAAAATGTCTATATATATACAATTACAATGTGCAATAAGTTGTTTTGTGGAATAAATGTTTCAGAAATGAAATTATTTTTGAGTCATGACTTAATGACCAAGGACAAAAGTGGGTCATGAGGTTACATAGGTTGAGAACCACTGTTCTAGAGTTTGGGTGAGCTGAGAGAAAGTAGAACTAAAGGGGAAACTTTTTTTGTTAATAGATTTAAAGTGGTGAGAGATTAGAGCCACGGTGAGATTTTTATTGCTGCCTGTCCCCCCATTAGGCCTCGTTCACACCAGACAGTGCATTCCAGGCCCGATTCATTCACTTCAATCGACCGCCATGCCCTCTTCTACCTGGCACTATGTTGTGAGGCAGAAGAGGGCATGGCGGTCGATTGAAGTGAATGGCACCGTCGACACACCCTTCGGCCGCAATGCGATTGGCCGCACAGGAACGCAAGGGCACACAATGGCCGCAGTCTAGTCCAAACAGTGCTGCAAGCACTATTTTGTTTGGAACGGAAAGCTTCGTTCCCTCTTATGGACCATACTTTCCTATACAGCTATCCAACCTCTGGAGTACCGAGCAGTCAGAAGGTAGATAAGTAGCCATAAGAAGCAGGTAACAGGCCTGACAACAAGGAAAAAGCAACTTTGGACGAGACCTGTGTCCCCAATAAACTAATGAAGAAAATTATTTTTATAGGGAGTACATAACTTCCAGTAATCTACAGTGCCCCCCCAATAAACACAGAGAAAAAAAGAGAGGCGCAAAAGCAGTTCCAAATAAGGGAAGGGGAAAAAATTTCACACCTCACAGACAGCTTGCCAGATAGTGGTAGGTCTGGTTTATCACAAAGCAATTTGCCAGACCCGAGAGGAAGAAGCACGGTGCTGAGCAGCTCTAGATAATCCTACTGTTTTAGTTAAAAAAACAGTGACGGGAAACGGAGGAACCTGTTCCTTAGCTATGTACAACAGCAAAATTGTCAGAGGAATCCACCATGCCATAGTCAATGGATGCCAGAGAGCCCTTATGAAGCTCTTACAATATCTAGAATGAAAAGCAATCTACTTTGAATGGCAAGACGACAAGCAGAGGACAAAAAGATACCCTCATGAATTTAAAAGGAAGATGCCGCTTTTTAAAAGGAAGGATAAATAAGGTCAAAAGAACAACTTTGTCCCTGTAAACCTCCAGGAAGGGTGACATTAAAGTAGAGCACTGACTATTGCGACACGCTTCTACACGAGGTGATGGTGATTGAAAAGCTACCTTTTGGGCCAATATCCTGGAAGGTACTATACATCATACAGTGGCACAAAGAGGGGACCCTGAAAAAGCGGGCTAGACCAGATTGAGGACCCAAGAAACATTGGAAGGTTTGTAGGTGGAGCAATTTGAATGACTTGCTATACAAAAAGGTGCGTTTAGGAAGGAATAAGGCACAAATAGTCATTGGAAAAGGATTGACAGAGCAAAGATCTGGCACTCAATGCTTAATTCCAGTCTCTGCTAAAGTCATGCTTGCCGGAAGTTGCACACCCTAGCATTAAATAAATAAGGTTCTAGTATTAAAACCTCTGGTAGTGTACTACTGGAAAAAGGACTTCAAGTATGATGAAAAATGTGGAGAGAAGGGGTTGGAGCCTGAAGCACAAGATGGTGGCCCTAGTTAAGACACATTCTCTCAGAAGCTGGGTTTCAATAGTCATCTAAGTTCGTGACTAAAAAGTAAGATGCAGAATCGGACAAGAAAGGAGATCTGGTTGGCCTGGCAGAGGCCACAGAGTGCATCTGCTGCCAGTATACAGAACTGTAGAGCCATCATCGGCATTACAGGATGGCTCAAGGAGCTATTTTGTCATAAAAGACAGTGCAACTTTCTAGAGCCACCTCAAGATCCATTTAACTAAAGCGACAGGGTAGTAATAGTTACACTGTTGCTTCATTGCTCCTTCTCTTATGGTTCTTCACTATAAAGAATACACCTGGTAACTCCAAGTTTGCTCCCAGGGATATTACCTCTACATATCAGGTCTTTCTTGGCCAGTCTGGAGCTACCAAGATGGTGGGGATCCCTTTCAGTCTGATCCACTTTAGGAAGCGCATTTAGCTTGATGGCAGGAAACCTATATTACTGAATATGCAGTCCACAGGACAACCAGGGCACCAACTGCATCCACAAAAGGGTCCTTGGGCAGGGCTATGAACTGTCCGATTGTGGTGCGACACCATGAGGGTCACATTTAGTTTCTTCACCAGGGGGAAATTTCATAAAATATATCTTTAGTCCATTCTTCTGGGTGCAGCTGTTAATAGTTGATAATGTTTGCCAAATCAATTGTCCACATCTAGAATGTATTCCACTGACAGAACTAGAATACAATCTTCTGTCCTGTGCAGCATGTGAGGCACTTCACTTCCTGTAGTCTGGCCCTTTGTACCACCTTATTAACTGAAGTAGACAGTCCTTAATGACTGAAATAGACCACTCAACAGGATCACTGGGATTTCTAGAATGTTGATCAGCACACCACTTTTCTTTTCCATCCAGCAATCCTGCACTGACATGGTGCAGAGTGTTCTCCTTTCCAGGAAGGATTGCATCCACGGGGCAAAATCTTTCAGAGGATACAGAAGGATGTTCCAGGAATACTGTGGGCACCTGGATCTACCACAGCAGTTCTAACCTGGTATGAGGCAACAAGAAAATCTTGGGTCCCAAGGATAGAGAGAATGTGTTTGCCGACCTGGTATCCTGCAGCATGTCCATGTATTCTAGGCATGGCGATGGGATGAGAAATCCCTTGTGTTGATTCAGGAGGTCTCTCAAAATCTAGAGAACCTCTAGGACCATCCATAGGCTGGCCCTGAATAGGAAGTCGCCCAGCTATGCCAAAACAAAGATGGCTAGGCCAAAAAGCAAGGATTCAAATAGGAAAGGCAGTTCTTTGATAGGGAAGTGCTGAAAGCGCTGATGTGACAGACCTAGTGGCATGTACATCTTTAAGTTTCACAGAGGCCGAACAAAAGGTGTTAAAAAGCCTTGAGATCTAGGATGGGTCAGACCACATAAGTTTGGGGAACTGTAACAGATTAACAGAAACCCTAAACATTTTCACCACACATGCATTAAACAAACCACACATCCCTGGGGTCCAGTGGGGCACTTGGTGGTCCAGTGTAGGATCAGTGTGACCTGCATCTCTTGCCAATGCTAACCATACTAATATCGCTCCTTCCTGTGAGCAGCTTGCCGGAGCATGACGGAGCAATCAGCAGTGTCTGCATCAGCAAGAGATGCAGATCATACTGATCCTCCACTGAACCACCACAAGATGATTTTCATTTAACCCCTTCATGACTGAGGCCCTTTTTTCATTTTTTGCACCCATGTTATATTCCACATTTTAGGCCTGAAAATGACGTAAAACCCCCCAACATTATATATTTTCTGAATGCCAAGACCCTATAGAATAAAATGGTGGTAGTTGAAAATTTTTATGTTGCGCAATATTAGCGCAACTCCTTATTAAACCCCAAAATGTAGTGACAAATTTAATTAAATGCCCCAAAACACAACAAATTACCCATTTTTTAAATGAAATATAAAAGATGAGGTTACAACGAGTAAAACGATACCCAACATGCCCAGTTTACAGATTGCGTGCGACCGTGAAACGGCGAAAAACTGCAGTACCCCAAAAAGTCAATAAAAGACGCTTTAAAAGCCCCCACAGGTCATCAATTTAGAGATACCCCAAAATACTGGCCCTAGAATTATTGCTCTCACTCCGGCGTGCGCGGCGATACCCAACATGTGTAGCGCGTTCGTCGTTTTCATGCGTAGGCGCACCCGACGCGTGTTTACGTGGCGACGCGCGTGCTCGCGGGGGCGGGGTACTTTTAAAATTTTTTTTTATTATTATTAGATTTATTTTATTTCATTTTAATTTTAAAAACTGTTTTTTTTTTTTTTTTACTTTACTTTGACTGCTATCACATGGGGGGGCTTGCAAGCCCCCCCATGTAATAGCAGATGGTGGTGACAGGTCCTCTTTAAGGTGATGCTGGGGGTCCAAAAGACCCTCAGTGTCACCTTTACACTAGAAATGAGCTATTGAAGTGCAGATCGCACTTCAATAGCTTAGACCTGGGCTGCAGGAGCCCAGAACTGACAGCCCAGGGACCGGAAGTGATGCAATCTGCATCGCTCCCGGTCCCATAGAACGGGGAGGGGATCGATGAACGGAAGTTCGTCGACCTCCTCCCCAGCTCCCCACGGCCCCTTCTTCGGGACGCAGAAGCGATCTGGCGACAGGTAAGTCGCCAGGATCGCTTCTGTTGTAAAGCCGACAGTCGGCTCTACAAGTTTAAACAGAGTCCCGGCGGCAAAAGTCGCCCGATGCTGGCGACGTCAGTCACGAAGGGGTTAATATATTGCCAGTTCAGCAATACCAGTATATTAAATAGGACCAGGGCACCTGCCAGGTTTAGAGATGACCACCGCTATTCGCAGCGGGCTCTTTAAAAACTGTGTGGGGAATTGATCAAAAATGGAGCAGCTGTGCATGGCAACCAATCAGCTTCTCTTTCATTTTCAAATCTTAACTGAACAAACTGAAGAGACACTGATTGGTTGCCCTGGGCAACTGCTTCAGATTTTGTCTGCTCCAGTTTTGATAAATTTCCTTCAATGTGACTTGGAGACCCATGGAACACCGGAGGCTCGTGTGGAGCACCCCAGGTGAGAACCTGGCGTGTGCTGGCCCCGGCAAACGGCACCTAGGCTCGTGTGCCAACAGAGGGGCCTCTGCGTGCCCTCGGTAGCACCTGTGCCATAGGTACGCCATCACTGTCCTAGGGTAACAATGTTGTCACTCATGGACAGTATTACATAACACTCCCTTGTCTCTTTTTCATAACATTGGGGAAAGGTGTTCTGTAGTCCAAAGAGAACTTGGAACAATGTGGATAACAGTCACTAGAGGAAGGAAGTTAGCTCATGTAGTTTCTGTATGGATCAACAGGTATTTTGACAGACCAAAGGGAGCAACAAAGGGAGCAAATAAGAGAAGTTTTTTGTTGGGGTTTACATATACTTTAAAGCCTCCACTGGGTAGTTCTCTCAGATTCCTGCATTACTAATCAAATTCAAACTTGCAAGGTAGGTTGAAATCTGACTGATAGCAGGGGGAAACTTATTTGAAAGCTTTTTCTTTTAATGTCAGGCTTTCTGTATGTGAAAGGCAGCAAAAATAAAAGCCATCGGAAAAAAAAAAATCATTCTACAGTGGGAAACCAAAAAATACACACCCTACAACTAGTAGCTATACCACACAGGGCAATACCGGGGTTGCAAATTCAGTGTTATGTTTACAGGCAAACTGAACTTAGCCCATAAGCAAGCCTTCACCGCCTTACCTTAATCTCTGCAGCCATTTTTTCACTTGCAAAACCATCTACGGAAAGCTAAAAAGAAGAAATGATTATGTTAAGCCAAACAAGCAATAGCACTTACAAAATGATAAAATGTAATTGTGTCATCTTACTTTTATCAGTCGAGAAATGAGGAAGCCACCTTGGTACCGATTATGGAGTTCTTCCCAATTTTCCTTTACAAAAGTCCATGCTGCCTTTCTGCCTGGTTTACTAGCCCCAGCAACCCCTCCGATTACAGATACTGTATCTTGTGGACGTACCTCTTCCTACAGTGCAAAAATAAAACCGTATCCTGAGGAACTTGGACAGCACAAAAAGTATTCAACTAGATCATGTTAAAACTGGACACAGTCCTTCAACTAGTACACTTGACACAGATGATTACACACAACCATAGAGCCCCTTCCATATTTTCAATGTTACCATTAATACACTTTGTACTTTTTTTTTTTTTGGAGGATAGGAAAGAACACAATACAGTAAAAGCAGTCAGTGCAGGAGCTTCTAAGTACCCCAGCTATTCTACTATGAAGCCAAGCTGCTGTTAAAAGATGCAGTATGCAGTTTAGCATTATCCTGCTGAAATATGCAAGGCCTTCCCTGAAAAACAAGTTATCTGGATAGGAGCATATGCTGCTCTAAAACCTGGATATATCTTTCAGCATTGATGGTGCCTTTCCAGATGTGCAAGCTGCCCATTCCATACGCACTAATGCACCATGGGTGTGAGCCAAGTCCCTCAATGGACTCCAAGAAAAGGATTTTATGGAGAGTACAAAAATCCTATTTGCTTTGTTTATTGAAATATACAGGACGAATTTTATACTATTGGAGCATCCAAAAGCAGTCCAACAGAGGGGTGGGCAAAAACAAACATAATTCTAATAGACCAACAAAATAACAGAAATGGGGGCTACCTGCCGCTCAGAGTATAAAGGACCTTATGCCCCAATCTGGCATCAGTTGAGGGCTAAACATCCAGCTGGTAGAACTTGTAAAGCATGTGAACCAAGGACTGGAAGGCAGCCTTGCAAATCTAGGAAACTGTAGCCTGATGCAAAAGATCTAGGAAACTGTAGCCTGATGCAAAAGAGCCCATGAGACACTCGCAAATCTAGTAGTGTGTGCCTTGACAGTTAAAGGTAGCGCCTGAACCTTAACACCATAGGCTTAATAGTCTGTCTGAGCCATCGAAAAATGTTGGAATGAGCTAGTTCACCCGTATAGGGACTATCGGATGTAAATACAATACAAGTCTGACATTTTTAGATTGTAAGCCCTCAGGGGCAGGGCCCTCCTTACCATCTTGTCTTGAATTGTATTGTGATTGTAATGTCTTCCTAATATTGTAAAGCGCTGCGCAAACTGTTGACGCTATATAAATCCTGTATAATAATATGAAGCTCTGCCAAGGATATGATCTGCCCTACCTCTTGTCAGCAACACATCGGGTTCTTGGCATTATCCAACTGAGTCCAGATGAGATGACCCTCCCCCCAGCTGGGAGGCCTAACATTGCAGGGGCAACTAAACTGAAGTTCCAAAATGTTGATCAAAAGACAAGATTTTGCTGCATCGTCAGGGTGCCCAGGTCTCCTTCACAGCCTGACAGGCTGGCATCTGTTGTGAGGATCTAAGATTCCCCTGACTCCAGAGCCAGATTCCTGTGCTACAAAGCCAGTGACAACCAGGTATTTGGTACCAGACAAATCTTTCTGTCCTGTCCAAGGTCTGGACTGACTTGTTCCATAATGATAAAATGTTGTGTTGTTGGACGAATGGGACTGGCTGAAAAGGAGGCCATCATCAGCCCCAAGACTCATGCAGAAGCGAAGAGTCTGGCAACTCCTAGACTGAAGAGTATGAGTCTGGGAGTTTAGAGTTTAAAGTGTCTCCTTGGGAAGAAAAACTGTGGCTTAAACTGTGCCTAGGACATGACCCAAATATTACAAGCAATGAGTCAGTTCCAGCACTGATTTCTGAAGGTTCAGGATCCATTCAAACCTCTGCAAGATCTGAATGGTCAGGGCAACATGGTCTATCACAACCTGTGCAAACTGTTCCTTCAGCAGGAGGTCATGTAGATATCACACAGTGGGAATGCCCGAAAGTGCAGTAAGACTATTACTGGGGCCAGCACCTTGGTGGACTCTCAAGGTGCAGAAGATAAGCCGAAACGCAGGGCCATACACAGGCAGTGCAGAGCACCCACAGCAAAGCAAAGGAATTGTTGCTTCTCTGAACAAATGGGGACAGGTAAGAGTTCTTAAAGTCCTTAGAGGTCCGTCCCTGATGGAGGGAGACCATGACAGACCGAGTGGATTCAGTGCAGAATTTCTGGGCCTGAATGAAGACATATAGGGCTTTGAGATTCAAGATGCCCTTTTTGGCTTGGGGACTGAACACGTTGGAGCAGAAACCCAGAACCTGTTCTGCCACAGGGACTGGGCAAATAACACCTTTTTTTCCAGTAAGCCCACTGGGGCTGCATTGAGTTCTGCTAATCTATAAGGGGACACAAGCAGGATGGAAATGATGAATAGGGCAAGGGGCTGGGAGCGAAAATGTAGCTTGTAGCCCCAGTAAACCCCCTCACAAACCCAAGCATATGAGATGAAGGCTGCCCAAGTGTCCCCCTAACAGATGTCCCCCCACTTTGAAAAGTGGGGGTGCACTCATGCTTAAAGACATGTGAAGGTTTCCGGGCAGACTTCGTGCCATACTTCGAGTTTGAGGTTGTGGATTAACGAAAAGGACTTTTTTTTTTGCCTTCAGCAAAGGGCGAGTCTTCTCAGATTTGACCAGTCCTCCTTAGGTTCACTGCTAGAAGGCGAATACTGGAAATGAGACGGATAACGTCTAACAAACCCATGCATGCTGTAGCTTAAGACTGCAGGCATGAGTTCCAAACGCTCTGTGACCAAGACATCAACTGCCATAGTGATCAGATTCCTTCTAGTAGCCTTAGACCAGTCAAGCAGGGTTTGACAGATAAACATCACAGCAGCCAGGCCGCAGTGCAGGACCTGCCAGGGAGTACAGCGCTCCAGAAAGGTCCTACACTCATCTGTCTGAGGTCCTTTAATACCAATTTGTCCCCCCGTGGGAGGGGAGGTGCTCCGTTAGGACAGAACAATCTGGATCCACAGAGGGGCAGCCTAATTTTTCACAAAGTCCTCCTCAAATGGGTGCAAGACTGCTAGGTGCTTGGGAGGTACAAACATCTTGTCAGGATGTTTCCAGTCTCCATAAAGGAAGACTGCAAAGAGCACGCACACTGAAAAGTCTTAGGAGCTCTAACGGGTCCTAAGCTGGGAACAACACCGATAATAGCTTCAGACTTATCCTCAAGCTTTAAAGTGATGCTTACTACATCGATAAGAGCCAAAACGGTCTCTTTCAGTTTGGGAGTGATGGCAGAAGACTGTGAATTCTTAGTGGCAGGTTTGTTCGTCAAAGGCTGGAGAGACTCAACATTAGTGTCTTGGCAGCTGATAGGGAAGGCGCAGGAGCATGCTTGTGGCTTCTGCAGTCAAAGTCTCCCTGGATAGAGCAGAGAAGGCTGCCATGCCTGACAGGGAGAAGACTTCGAAGATGGCATAGACTCTAGCAGAGAACAAGATTCTTGGCTGCCACCTTTTGTCACGTCAGGCACACTGCATGCAGCACTGGAGCCATTAGTGAAGTTTAAGCTTAAGGCACCTGGTACAGCAGAACTGGTCCCCTCTAGGATCAAACATGCTGCACAGCAAGGTAGAAAGCAACAAGGCTCAAGGTATTCAGCAAGGCCTGAGCTATTAAAACCTTTTGGAAACAAGTGTAGGGTAATGCAGCCGAAGGTGATCACTATAGTCGGGCAGTAGAAATTGACCCAGTATCAGAGTTTCACATGGAAATGCTTCCTCAAAACTAAACGGTAAGAGCAAGCATGGGACTCCACCTACCAGATTACATCAGCACTTGATCCAGCAAGAACCACTTCAGTGGTGAAGCCTATACTCAGTGGTCCAAATAACAAGGTAGCTCCCAGTGCTCAACCTCAAAAGCCTACTCACAAAGTGAATATTCAGATATAGGGAAAGTGCTGAGACAATGCCACAGCTCTGGACCTGAAGAGCTCTCTCTGGCTTTCCAGTACAAAATGTCTGGAAAGAGCCATGAGCAGAACCCAGTGCCTAAAGGTTAGATTCCAGGTTAGTCCCACAACATTCAGTCCAGTGAGGTCTGGGCATGGAACTCCAAAGTCAGGCTAAGGAAAGATCAATCTGGATAGCTACCATATAAAGACCAGATCAAGTAGCAATGGTCTGCTCAATATTAATCCCAGAACCAAATAGGAAACATTCAGCACAGCTTCTTTGGCATAAATATCTGTACAGACATAACATGTAACTAAATTAATGAAAACTCACCGAAAGGGAAAAGTTTAGCACTTTCTGGATTAACTCTGGAGAAGAAATGGCTCCTAGAACCCGCTCAATCCTATTCTTTTCTTCTTGCATGTCAGCTTGCTTGTGGAGCTAAATAGAATGACAAAAACAGATTTTACTAGAATGTATGTTAATGTACAAAGCCAACAAAACAGTGAAATGGGTAAATCACAAACATAGGAACTCTTTGTACCTGTTAAAAATTTGTAGAGTAATGACTACAAGCATAAAGAGGGAATATATGTTTTATTTTTTTTAAAGAGTATGAAGATTCTTTGCCACTGCTCCAACTCTTGCTTGCTTTTAAATGACTAAGAACCACTACGCTAAGGCTGGGCACACACCTTACAACCATCGCAAGACTTTTGTCTTGCGATGGTTTTAAGGTACTTAAAAAAACGTACGATCTGCCTATGTTGCATAGGCAGATCGTACTTGCGATGATCGCAAGCCACGCCCCATGAGGGGCGGGCTTCCGATGAACGCAATGCCGAACGGGCTTGCGCACACCGGCCCGTACGGCTGTTATCGTACGGACATGCCACAAACCCGCCGAACATCGTACGATGCTCGGCGGGTTTTCGAACATGTCCGTAAGTTTAAAGCCGTGCGACCTTACAGTAGTAGAGGTCGCACGGCTTCCACACACCTTACGATAATCGTACGATCGCGTGATTTCCCGCGATTATCGTACGATTATCGTAAGGTGTGTGGGGACCTTTACACTTTTCTCCTGACAGTTCACTTGAAGTAAACATAACCACTAAGGGGGTTATTCACAAAGCTGCCTCTGGCTATTTCGGTGCATCCGTGTACAGCTATTTTTAGCCTTACATTGGCTGCATTTGGCTCACCACCTCCCTTTGGCTCGGCCGTACCAAAGGGAAGAGCGTGTTCGCCTCAGCCGATGCAACATCTGGATCGGCTGAAGCAAACGTTTAGCAGTTCATTCCCTGCTGTTCACCCCTATTCTCCAAGGAGTGAAACAGCAGAGTGAATAGTTGAACGGTTGGCTCATGTTTCGGTCATTCTGTTCACTACCTCAGAGGTAGTGAAGCAGAATGAAAAATGTGATTGTAAAAAAATAAATAAAAAAGCTTGTAGTCCCCCTCCCCAAATCATACCAGAATACCGATACCAGAGCAGGAAAGGGGGGGGCACAAATCACGTTGTTCAGCGATGTAGATCCACGTCAATTACGATGAATGACGGTTGCCAACTTGCTGAAATAAAAAAAGTCCTGCAGCCCGCCGACCCGTCCGATGCTGACGAATTTCCGCCACAAAACGACAGCTCTGGCCCGAATGTAAACAATTGGGTGGAGCAAGCCCCGTGATGTCACATCTCCCTCCGCCCATTTGTTTACATTTGGGTGGGGTCGGCAGGCCTTTTTAACGTGGGCGAATCAGTTGCTGCCCTTCATCGTGATTGACTAGGATCTACATCGCTGGACAACATTAATGACCAATGGATAACAACGATGGACACTTTTTGTTTTTAAATAAAGGTCAAAAACTGGCTCGTGTTTTTTGTTCAAATAAAAGGACTTTCAAAAAGGTGTGGTGCATTTATTTACTCTTTGATTTACTATTTGGTGAATGAGTAGGGGTAACAACTACCCTATACTCATTCACAAGGGGGGTGTCATCTGGGTGCCCCCTTTATGAAAGGGGGCACCCTGATGCAGATAAGCCACCGGCCCACAGACCCCCACAACCCATCAACATGGAGACAAGGTACTTTTCCAGAGGGTTCCTCCCTGGCAAAGAACCCTCGCAATAAACCCACGCTTATCCCCCTCCCTTTCCTGCTCCACCGGGCTGTTGCTCGGATTAATGCTCTGGTATAGAATTTTAATCCCCCCAAAAAAGTGGGGTCCCCCTTAAAATTCCTACCAGACCTGAAGGGTCTGGAATGACTTTGGAGGGGAACTCCAAGCCTTTCTTTTTTTTCTGGACATCGGGGGACCCCCCGAATATTCCTACTAGGCCTAAAGGATCTGGTATGAATTTGGGAGGGGACTACAGCTTTTTAAAATTGTATCTTAACTATTTTCCATTGCGTTCTCCCCGCTCCGGCTGTTTGTTCGGCTTTGCCGAGCAGGAGCATGTACTTCCAGCTCTGCTGCATTCGGTTGTTTACTTCGGCTGCTGTATGCACTATTGAGAACAGCGCGTAGAGCAGCCATTCGGTTCAGCCAAACCGAATGCTTTTTCCATACACGCTATACCAGGTAAATGCAATTTCAGGTAATTTTCAACTATTTTAAACCTGCAGCTTACAATAATATACCTTTTGATGTTGCCATGAACGTTGTTGTGTAGGTACTTTCTGTTACAGGGTGACAAATGGCCATGGCAACACACACTGCACATTCATGGTCCACTGTTATCAAGATCCCCACCCTGAGAAATAACATGCAGCAATTGCTTGAGTGCTTCTATGTAAACAGGATGGGACTGCAAAGAGGCTGCAGGAGATCAACAGTGCTGATATGCAACAAAGGATAATTGGGGGTCATGCAAGTGGGGTTTACATGTACTTGGTTACCTCTCCTGTCTCTTAACCTATAGTGAAGGAACCCACACTACATTGGATTTAAAAGAAATCTGTAATGAGGGAAATACATAGGCTTTCACCTGCTGAAAACCCAAGCTGCCTGGCTGTCTCATATTTCAGTAATTTCAGAGTCAATGACCTGGAACTGGAATGCTCATACATTAAAGAATACAGAATGAAAAGTATTATAAAAATTAAAATTGCACTTACAGATAAAAGGGTAAACCAGGCTGGTCCCCAGTGGGAACCCATAGTCTCGTAAAGCTTTTGGAAATTCCTCTACCCACAACTGCCAAGGGAAGAATGTAGAAAAATGGAAGAAAGCAGTCCAAAAACAGTACGAGGAAGGGGCTCGCACCCCAAAACTTCAGTGATGACACTTGTCTTCAGGACTGGCAGTAGTGTGTCACTCTCTCTCCAAGAAAGAAACTAGGGGGAGCTATGGAAACTTTCTAATACAGAAAAGGTTGCATCCCATGTCCAGGGCAGGCGCCATCACATATTAAAATAGTAAAGTAACGACTGGAAATGGTGAGAAAAAAACCCCACAACCAAGGCTTTACACACAAAATGTTTATTTAAACAGATTTATGATCTATCAAAAGGATCACATTTGAGCTCCCACACTATTTACCTATACCAGGGGTAGGCAACCGTGGCTCTCCAGCTCTGTTGAAACTACAAATCACATCATGCTTCTGCCTCTGGGAGTCATGCCTGTGGCTTACAATGCCTTATGGGATTTGTAGTTTCAGCACAGCTGGAGAGCCAAGGTTGCCTACCCCTGACCTATTCCATGGGATGTCCAAAAGCAGTCCACAGGGTGAGCATTAGCACAATTAGAAAACAGGTGTTCACAGAGCCACCTGCAAGACGTGGCAGCTGAAACTATGTGGCTACATCCATCTTATGGAATTTTGGTCAAAGTGTGGACTGAGTCCTATGTCGCAACCCTGGGAACCGATCCAAGAAGCACTCACTACTCTAGAATAGGAAACTGACAGGAAAGGGAGGATTCCCTATGTATTGGGTAGGTAGGTCAAGATTTAGGTCTGCACAATAGTTTTATCCAAAAAATAAAGAGCTATTTCTTTAGCGTGGACCGGAGCTGGGAATGGGTAAAATGATGCCTTAATTAAATGGACGGACGGCAGGACGGAGACAGGTCTTCCGGCAGGACGGAGACAGGTCTTCCGGCAGGACGGAGAAGCCAGCTTTGAAACCTTCCTTGCCGAGATAAAGGCACCTTGTGGAATGAAGTGAGGGCTGGCTTCTGACATGGACAGACCCTGATCTCTTCAACTTCGGTTGTTCATCATTCGCAGCTAACCTGACCGCTCACTCCTGCTTCATTCTGGCACCTGTCTGCTCCTCATCCTCCTCTCCTGCTACCCTTCACGGAGATGGTGAAGATTTGGTAACAGAGGGCTCCATCTCCTGCTAAGAACCTGGCGCGCTTCCAGCAGGCACAAGATGGCGGCGGCGTCCATGCAGCTTTCCCTCCTCCATCCTCATCTGGCTCACTAAAGCGAGCAGGATCTGGGCAGTCCAGTCAGAGTAAGCAGTTGCCTAAGGGGATACCTTGGGTTGGGTCGTTTCCCTGACATACAATTCTGAGCACTCCTTGCTGCACTGGACTGCGTACACAATGTTGTTTATCTTGTGTTTAGGTGTTGGGTCTTTTGGGTGAACCAGTTGTTCATTTTGTTTATTAAAAATCCTTCTGACTTTCTCAGACATCCCAGCTACATATGGGATGACCATATTCTTTCATTTGTAATGCTTTTCCCCTTCACTGGCAGTCTTGGTGTTCTCCTTTTTGTTTTAACAAAGGTCCAGTCTAGATACCTGTAAGTCTCAAGAGCCCTTTAAAGGTGTTTGAATTCCTTTGCCTTGGCCTTTGTGCTGGTGGGGATTTTCTCTGCCCGGTGGTGCAGAGTCCTGACTCCCAGTTTGTGATTTAGAGGATGGTGGGAGTCAAATAGCAGGTACTGGTCAGTGCGCGTTGGTTTTCAGTAGACCTTTATTTTCAGTCTCCTTCCCTCTTCTGTTACCAAACAGTCTGAGAAATCCAGTGTGTTGTTTTGCATATCTTCCCGTGTAAACATGATGTTATGATCCACGGAGTTGATGTGGTCAGTGAAAGCCTGTAACTCTTGTTTGTGAATTTTGACCAAAATGTCATCCATATACCTGAACATTGTAAGGGCCTTGTTTTCTACTTCTTCCATGTACAGGTTCGCCACAGTGGGTGAAACTGGCGATCCCATGGCACAGCCATGTTTTTACCTGTAGAACTTATCCTTGTATTTGAAAAAGGTGGTAGCCAGGCAAAGGTTCAATAAGGCGCACACTTGATCTGGGTTACGTTCTGTTTATCAAAGGCGGGGTTACCATTCCCAAGTGTCACAGCTTCCATAGGGCACGTGCAAGCCAATTTTTAAAAGTTTCACGCCACCCAAGAAAGTGTCAAACCACCTTTTGTAGAATCTAAATCTGTCAAGGTGACAATGCATGTCTACCAAACTTAATTTAAATAGTTGTGACACCCACGGCCAGTATCAAGTACTAAAGGGGGACAGAGAAAGGGGGGGGAATTAAAAAAATGCAGTAATACGGGAATTCAGAAAAGAAAAAAGGAGAAAAAGTAAAAATCATAAGAGTTTACTTTCCTCAGTGAGGAAAGATGGCCATCTCTGAAGGACACTAGGCAAAAACAGAGGCAGACTGGGTGTGGGAAGGTTATGCTGGGCTGTCCTAACCGTTTTGTTTGCTAGTGCCCAATCTCTTAAAGGCAGCTGCATAACCCTAAGTCTCTCACTCTTCCTGTGTCCTGTGATGAATGATTAAGAAATGTCAGCAGTACTGGACTCATTTTGGAGTTAGGGACTTTGTGAAAGATGCCTTGAAATCCACTGCTTTTAAGCAACAATCTGCCTGTTCCAACAGCATACTCCTGCTTGTGTGCGCAACCTCCTGAATTAGAGTTGAACTACAGAGGAGGGAGAAGGACAATTGGAAAAACCAGTAACAGCCCAAGCAGAAAGAGCAGGGCTCCCCCGAGTGGACAACTTTTGCAAGCACATAAAGTATAGGCAAGCCTAAAAACAAGAGACACATTTGGCCATTTAGCTACGTCCACACAATAGTGAGTTGCAGAGAAGGGGACAGAACAACAGTCTCAGCTCTACACTGGTAACTCAATATGGAATCCCCAGACATACTGGCCTGACCTAAATAGAGTCCTGTGTGAACTAGAGCACAGATGAATTATTACTGCCAATTGCAGGACTGTTATAGAAAGAACTGGGGACCTGCACTACTTGGCTAACTGCCTTAATATACCAGTAGCGTAGATGACTGGAGAAACTTCCAGATATTCTTGGCTCTCACAGAAAGATCAGTATAAAACTGGAAAACCTGCTTTTGTTGGCTGACTGGAGAGAATTCCATGATTTACCATATCAAGCATGATTCTACCAGCAGCTGGTGATGGCAGAAAAATCTTCAAAAACAAACAGAACAGCAGAACTGACAAAAACATGTCCACTCTACACAGGACACTAGCAAAAAAGCACCATTGTAATGGCTGTGGACATAGTTAGCATGAGTCGGGCAAAGTTTTTTGTTGTTGACCGCACCCATTTTTCCAGTGGATGGCAGTATAAACCAAAATTTTAAGAATTCCTGTGTCCCTCACTGGACAAGAAAAAAAAAAAGATATTTTTTTTAGGGTACTGCCTAGACAATTCAAATTTCGGAATCTTCCTAAACATCGCAAATCTTCACTTGTTGATTTCAGTTCAACTTTAATAACATTCCTATCGGTGATGACTGACCTTCAGCATTGTATCCAGCGTTGTGGCATCTCCGTGCTTCAGAACAGTCACATAAACCTGAGAAAAACAAGTGTTGACATTAGTGGTTGTGTCATACAGGAAAAAAGCAAAGTGGTAAATGGAGAGGGAGAACTAACCGGGCTTCGGAGATCGGCACTTAATGTGTTCTTTCCTTCAACGTGGTCCTTAAACCTGCGGCGAGCTTCTTCCAGGGTAGGTTTATGACCAGCCTTTCCTAACTTCCCCAGTACTAGGCCTCTCAGCAAAGCATCCAGATGTCCTAAGGATATAAACAATTAAGGCCTGCATTCACACACACACAAACACTAGGGACCAAAGTCTTTAAAAATTGTAATCACACTCTATAGAATAGGGTATAAAAAAACTGCCAAAAGAATTTTAATGAAAACTACAGACATGGCAGTAATTCTCCAGAATCGTTATCCATCATTAGTAGCTTTTATCACTTCTTTACACAAAGCAATTTCTGAAACTATGTGCAAATCTTTCAACAGCTGTTTCCATGTTAAAAATTATTTTTTTTGCATGGCGGTGCCTACCTGCCTATTCCACAACTGCTGATAGCAGCTGAGGCAGTCAAGCAGAAAATGGCAAACGAGAGAAGTTATTTGATATGCATAATGAAGTCAGTTTTGAAGACATGACTTGCAAGCTGTAATATGGAATACCAATGCAGAAATTCTGCATTACACACAAACATGCAACTTTGGAAGAACAATCTGCAAATTATTAGAAAAAACAGACCCTCTCGCACTTACCCTCCCCTGGTTTGGGGTCCCAACCCAAACGCTGTCCAATAGGAGAGAAAACATCTTTGATAAAGTCTTGAATTTCCTCATGAAACTCTGTGTGAGATAACAGCGTGGACAGAATCCCTAAATTACAGCTTAAGTCGCTCCACACAGTGTAATTGGGCTCATTCACAAAGGCCTCCATGACTTTCAGGACTTCAACTGTGCTGATGATGCCACCTCGAGCCTGTAGGTATACAGATACAAAAAATGGGCCTGTTGATAGATGTAGATGGGAGAGTGTGGAGGAATACAATTCTTATTAAAGTCATCAGTCTAGATAAGTCAGCTATCTCAAAGACCAGGAGGAGCACTTTGCCAGGCACTTGACCCCAAGTGTTTGGAGAACTAGCAATGGCAAAAATATGAGCACCACACCTGCTTCACCTATTTATTCTGAAAGTTCTTTAATTTGAACACTTGTCCTATATTTATACTCACCATAGAAAATAGGTCATTTTGCAGGCCAAGCCTGTCTACAGGTTGCAGGGAGAGGTCTCTAATTCCAGGCAGCAAACTCTCCAGCATAGAAGGGCTGTACTGGGTGCGATAGAAGCCAACAGTTCCAGGATTTAACTAGATAAGATGAGAACAAGTAAATCAGTGAAATGGATTACACCAACAACAGATTTACAAAACAGGTATTAAAGCAGGGGTCTCAAACCTCGGGCCCTCCAGCTGTGGTGGAACTACAAATCCCATGAGGCATTGCAAGATTCTCACAGCCACAGACATGACTCCCAAAGAGATGCATCATGGGATTTGTAGTATCACCACAGCTGGAGGGCCGGAGGTTTGAGACCCCTGTATTAACCCCTTCGTGACTGACGTACAGTGTACGTCGCCAGCATCGGGGCTGTTTAAACAGACTCCCGGCGACTTTTGCCGCCGGGATTCTGTTTAAACTTGTAGAGCCAACTGTCGGCTTTACAACAGAAGCGATTCTGGCGACTTACCGCCGGACACCGCCGCCGTGGTTCCTGGGCTCCGTTGCCCCTCCTACAGGCCTGGGACCGGAGTCCTTGGTGTCCGCGGGGAGCTGGGGAGGAGGTCGGCGAACTTCTGTTCATCGATCCCCTCCCCGTTCTATGGGACCGGGAGCGATGCAGATTGCATCACTTCCGGTCCCTGGGCGTCAGTTCTGGGCTCCTGGAGCCCAGCTATAAGCTATTGAAGTGCGATCTGCACTTCAATAGCTTATTTCCAGTGTAAAGGTGACACTGGGGGTCTTTTGGACCCCCAGCATCACCTTAAAGAGTACCTGTCACCACCATCTGCTATCACATGGGGGGG